GGCTATTAGATTATTATAATAAAGTTTTATAACTTCTTAATATAAAGTAGAATTATTAGATATAATAATTCTTAAATAGTACCTAAATAGGCCTGAATTATTTTTCCAGATTTCTTTTCTTTTAGTATTTTCTTTACTAAGCCTCTATTTTATAATATTCTAATATTAAGAATTATTTCTCTAAGCTACCTAAATAATATCTAGAAGAGATTTAGATAAAGAGGCTAGTACTATAGCTCTTTTAGTAGCCATATATATCTATATATAGGGAATTAGATATTTATAATTATTTAATTTAAAAACTCGAGAAACTAAGAAGTTTTTAGTTTTATTAAGTAATATAATTATAGATATTTCTATTATCTTAGCTATAATAGTAAAGCCTTTAAAGCATTTCCCTATATCTTATTTCTTAATTAATTCTATAATTAAGGGATCTATAAGATAATCTATTTACTTGTTTTATAGTAAATATTTCTCTTTAGTTATTATAAATATAATAAGTATTAAATAATACTTATTCTAAAGAGGGAACTCTTTAGATATTTATAAGAACCTCTAAATTATAATTATAAAAGCTTTCTTTAGCTTATTCTAAAAAGTCAGAAGCCAAGTTATATTAATAGGACCTTTTTTATAATTAGGTCTTTTATTAGGTCTATTTACTAGGTTTGAGGCACTTTTATAGTAAATAATATTAAAATTATATATTATAAGATATATTACCTAATATACTTAATAGCTCTCTAGATACTTTATTTCTATAAAGTATTAGAAATTATTATAGTCTATAATAACCTTAATTATAAATCTGGATTTTTTAAGATAATAGTACTAATATTTAAAGGCTTTAATAATTATAAGTAGCTTCCTATTATAAGTACTATAATTATATTTAATTCTAGAAAGTTTCTGGAACTAGAATATTACTAGATACTAGTATTTTTTCGGGCTATTACTAGAATTAACTTATTATAAAATAGTACTAGTAATTACGAATTTTAATATATTAGTTTTAATATAAATCTTTTTAGAAAACTCAAAATAGACTAGAATAAGTATTATAATAAAAGCTTTTAGCTACTTTATTTATTTATATAAAGAAACTAGATTTCTGGCCCTTTTTTATTTCTTTTAAAAAATCTATTAAGCCTATAATTATCTGAGAATAATAGTAAATAAACCTATAATAGAAATTAGTAAATCTAAGAAATATTTAAATATTATAAAATAATTCTAGTTCTAGCTATTTAATAATACTATAGACTTATTTAGGATCTATATAAATATTTTCTATTCTAATAAAGAAGCCTAAAAATTCAATTTCCTTAATATTAAATTCGCATTTACTAAGTTTATAAAACAGGTTATTTTTATATAGCCTAATAAGTATCTAGTAAATATAATTATAGTATTTACTTTTATTTCGGGAATAAATAAAAATATTATTTAAATAAATAACTATGAAATAATCTAGAAGTCTTATAAGTATAGTATTAATATATACTTAAAATATAACTAGTATATTAGCTAGCCCAAAAGATATTATAAGATATTTAAAATAGCTATAACAGGTCCTAAAAGCTATCTTTTACTTATATTTTTTATGAATTCTTATCTAATAATATATATTCTTAAGATCTAGCTTTATAAAGATCTTGGCTTTTTAGAGCTAGTTAAGGGTTTTATTAATAAGAGAAAGCAAATACTAATTCTTAATTATAACTTAATTAAGTTTATAATAATTAATATAAAGATATAGCCCTTTATTCTTTTTAGAAATAAAAAGAATAAGTATTTTTACTAGACTTTTATTAGGCCTTATCTAATATTTATAAAATATATCTTATAAATATAAATATAATACTTCTAGTTAGATTTCTAATAAATTATATAAAGGCCTATATAGAACTATACTATTTATATTAATAGAGTATTTAATATTACTAAGATTAGAAAGTTTTAAAGCTTTATTAGAATTAGAAACCTCTAAGAAATCTTTATATTTATTATTCCGGAAATAAATAAATATTTCTAAGGCCCTTTTCCGAAAAGTATTAATTTACTATATTAAAAACTCTTATTTAGTATTACTAGAACTATATAATAAAATAAAGATCTAGTAATTATTATAAATATATAAAGTCTATTATCTAAAATAGTTATATTTGCCTTTAGTTAAAAATAAAACTTAAAATACTAGCTCAGGATACTAGTTAAGCTTTTTATTAAATTCTTTTAGTATTAGAATCTTAATATTATTAGGCTATATAGATATATATACTTATTATTTCTTAATATAGTCTATATATTATATAAGAGTTATTTTATAAAATTTTATATTAAAAATAAGGCTATAAGAGCTAATATTCTTATATCTATAGAACTAGAGTTTAAAAGAATATATTTTACTATAATTATCTATAATAAATATCTTAAGATTATAGGCTTAATAAATCTTAAATCTATTTCTATAAAAGATTATAAATTCTTAGTTATATTTAGCTAAGATAATAAAGCCTCGGCTTTAAGCCTAATTATTATTAAAGAAATTATAGTCTAATCCGATATTACCGAATCTATTATATATCTCTAAAGTATTTACTTCTAGCTATATTAATCTTGCTTAAATAGTTATATAAAATAATATATCTTTTTTATTATAGCTAAAACTATTAATATTTAAGATTTAGCCTTCTCTTTTCTTTATTTCTTAAAAGAGTTTTTTCTAGAGTATTTCTCTATAATAATAGTATTAATCTGCTTTTATAAATATCTTAACTCTTCTATAGTTTTGGCCTTATTAGAGTTTTACTAAGCTTATTTAGTATATTTAAAATACTTTATATTTCCTGAGAAATATTCTTTCTATTTATAAGTTTAATAAACTATACCTAAAATAAAACTAGTACTTTATTAAGGCCTTAAAAAAGCCAAAGTATTACCTAAAGATTTCTTATATGATTTTCGGAATTTATTCTTCCTTTTTTAATAGCCTTATAAATTAGAATTCACTAAGTTAAAGTTCTTAGAGACAGAATTACTTTTACTAGACTTTCCTATCTTTACTTTTCTTAATTTGAGATAAGTAGTATATTTTACTTTCTAAGCTTTCTTAAGCTATTTAGAAATAAATACTGTCTTATTTCCTGAGAAAATAGATATAAGTATCTAGTAAGTCTTATAATTAGATAAAGTAGTATTAAGAGTTCAGATCTGGTCTTTTTTAGGATATAGGTTCTAGTTAACTTTAAGACTAATTATCTAAATATATAATTTAGTAATTATTTTACTATTCTTCTAATAAAGATCTCGGAACTCCTTAAAGGTATTTTATTAATAAGTTTGAGGTATTTGAAATATATTAGCTAAATAAGTCTTAAATTACTTCTAATAAACCTTATATAATAATAGGCTTTATTTTATTATAACCTCTCAAGTATTATAAGATTCGTTCCTAAAAGCACTTATAATAGAATTAACTTTAAAAGAATATCTATTATAAGTCTAAAGTTAGGTTTTAAAGATTATTTTTTAGAAAAATATAAATATTCTCTATTTCTTAAAAGACTTTCTATAATATAAGTTAGGTATCCGGATTTTAAGAAGCTTCTTTTAGTCCAAATATATCTTTAGAATATTATATAATAGCTCCTAATAAATAGTATTAAGATTACTTTTAAAGCTTATTATATTAGGAAAGAAAGTGGGTTCTAACTTTATTTTAGGAAGTTTCCTAGTAGGAATTACTAAGAAAGATAAGATAGACTTATAAATAGAATTTCTATAAGATATAGTAAATTATAAGATATTTTTAAGAATACTCTTATATTACTCTAATTATAGAATATATTAGTTAATTATATTTACTAATTCTTGCTTTTATTAAAGTATTTTAATATTAGTATATAATTTCTATTTTATAGCTTAAATAATAGTAACTTGGGTATTAATCTTAGTATCTTAATTATTACCGGGATTATTTCTGTTATTATTACTAGCTCTCGGAGGCTCTTAAGGGGCTCTATTAAAAGTATTAGATAAGCCTTTACTATTACCTATATTAGGGTTAATCTAGTTAACTTTCTCTATAAAAATAGCTCTGGTAAGGAACTATATATTTTACAGATTTCGAGATATAATTACTTATTAAACTATCTCCTTTAAGGATAGAGAGATTAGCTTATAAGGTATTTATTAGTAGGTAATAAGATAATAAAATAAATTAGTAAGTTGTAAAATAATAATATTAAATTTAGTATAGAACTAATCTCTATTTCTCTTATAAGGTCCAGGGAAGCCCTTTCTAAATAGGAGGCCCCTATAACATATATATAGTTAGTAATTTATAAGCCTAATACTTATAATATAAATAGTAATTAGTTATAAAATCAAAGGACCACTAATTTCCCTAATTAATACCCGTAATATCCGAGGTTCGTTATATGCCCTTAAGTTATATATAATCCTATATATATTATATTTAAATTTACTTATATATATATAAATTTTTATTTTATTTTATTTTATAATTATTCTTCTTACTTACTCGTATTATATTATTATATATATTATAATAAGTTATTCCAAAGCTCTTATAAAGTATAAAGAAAATACTCTAAAGAAAAGAGAAAGAAAAGTGAGTTGTGACGGTAGAGCTAGAGGATTGGAACGAAGTACAAAGATCTCTATTTCCTACTTGTAGAATCTAAAGCTAAGGAGAGAAGGAGAGGAGTGAAGTGTATTAATAGATAAGTAAGTTAGACTGAATCCACTGAAACACTGTTCTAGTTAGTGAAGCCAATCTGTGGCAAATCATGTGACGACAGCCGTCACATGAGTCACAATGCGAGGACTGCCTTTGGCCACAAAGTCAGTCTTTCAGGCAGTATCCATCACCTATCACTTCTTTTCAGTCAGCCCATTTTAGGCTTAGCGTAAGCGCTTGCCAGAGTCACTTTCATTACTAAGAGTCACAAGGACCTTTGCAACAACACACAAGACAACACAAAATCAAGAGCAAAATATGACAGCACCCAAGGTAGACTCTGAACTCGTCGACCTCTTAGCTAGCCTCAGGGGAGAGAAACCACTGCCGCTCTATGATGGCGCGGCCCCCTCTATTAATCCTGTCGACATTTATCGTTCTGTTATCACCGAGGAACTTGCGAAAATCGCTGAGCTAGACGCTAGCCTCATTTACCCTGCACTCGAGTGGACAAGCACGCTTGATAAAGGTGACCTAATTCTGGCAGTTCCTCGATTGCGAGTTAAAGGATCACCTGTAGAAAAAGCTGCGAGTTGGGCAGCCGCGGTAAGCAGGTCTATTCAATTCCCCTCTAAATGCACTACTAACTACAATCACAGTTCTCGCTGAGCTCGCTGATCAAACCTCCTGTCGCAACTGGCACATTTCTGCGCTTTGATTATAACCCCGATATCCTTCCGAAAATCGTCCTTCCTCTTATTCTGAAGCTTGGTCCCCGCTACGGCCTCGATGACACGAATAGTCTCAAATCGTCTGACTTAACAGCTCCCGCAACGAAAAAAAGATCGTGATTGAATTCTCAAGTCCTAACATCGCGAAGCAATTCCATGCGGGCCATCTTAGGAGCACAATCATTGGAGGATTTCCGTCGAATCTTTATGAAGGCGCCGGTTGGAAAACAGTTAGGATGAATTATCTAGGTGATTGGGGGAGGCAATACGGTCTTCTTGCAGTAAGCTGGAAGAAGTATGGCGATCAGAAGGCTTTTCATACCGATCCAATTGCACATCTCTTCGACGTATACGTTAAGATTAGTGCAGATTTTAAGCCGGAAGAGGATGGATTTAAGGCTGCTGGAAAGCGTGGGGAGGATACAGCTATTTTAGAGAGTCGGGGCTTGCTTGGAGAAGCCAAGGCATATTTCAAGCGCATGGAGGACGGTGATGAGGAGGCGCTAGCATTGTGGCGAAAATTCCGAGGTATCAGTGTCGAAAAGTACAAGACAACATACGCACGCCTCAATATCCATTTCACGGATTAATCTGGGGAGTCTACTGTTAAAAGGGAAATCATGGAAATGGCAGAACGAATCCTACTTGAAAAGGGAATTGCCGAACAAGACAATGGTGCCGTACTTATCGATTTTAAAAAGCATGGCGCGAAGAAGTTAGATGTTGCATTGGTTCGAAACCGGAACGGCACCTCTAACTATCTACTACGCGATATTGGGGCGGCTATACAAAGACACCACACTTACAATATGGACAAGATGATATATGTTGTCATGAGTGAGCAGGAAGCGCATTTGCAACGACTATTCAAGATATTAGACTTGATGGGTGGAGAATATGCGGCTTTGGCTAGGAAGATACAACATGTGACCTTTGGAAAGGTTCGTTCTTAAATTTTGGAATCTGGAGCTGATTTGCTAATTCCTAATACATTTAGGTTATGGGAATGTCTACGCGTCGGGGTACTGTCAAGTTCCTTGACGATATTCTAATCGACGTTGGTGAAGCTATGCACAACGTTATGCGCCGTAATGAGAACAAATACCGGCAGGTCGATGACCCCGAGAAAGTTGCAGATATCCTAGGGATATCTGCTGTTATGGTACAAGATATGTCTGGGAAGCGTATCAATAACTACCTATTCAACATTGGTCGGATGACTTCGTTCGAAGGTGATATGGGGCCTTATTTACAGTACGCCCACGCTCGACTCTGTTCTATTCAACGAAAGGTCGCCCTTACTCATGGCGAACTTTTGCAAGCCGACTTTTCCTTGCTAAACGAACCTCATGCAATTGGTTTAGTTCGACTTTTAGCTCAGTACCCAGATGTCATGGGTCATACTTTCAAGACTCTCGAGCCTACTACTATTCTCACTTATCTTTTTCGCCTTACTCACCAGCTGAGTTCAAGTTACGACGTTCTGAGGGTCGTGGGAGCCCCGGAAGGTGTGGCGACGACTATCGCCCGTGCCGCTCTCTATGAAGCTGCCAGGAAAACAATCCATTGCGGAATGATATTGCGAGGACTAAGCCCGGTGGAAAGGTAAGTTTTTTGTTCCTAATAATTCACCTATTTCTACGACCAATACTGACCGTGGTTTATCCAGGATGTAACCCTCCTTCACGTCATTAGAGATACATTTGTTGAGTTACATTATGGTAGCCGGAAGTCCTTCCAATCGAATTGAAACATCGGCCACAACAAGAGCCGCAGAGAAATTTCCAGAATCAGTCGTGTCGACCATAATTGTGCTGGAGTTGGTGGACTGTGTCAATCTTCAATCACTCTTTCATCGCCTGTAGCAGCCCCTTTTGGGCCACCATGGTAAGTTATGTAAAAGGGAAGGAGTTCAGGGATGGCGTTTTGAGATCTCAAAGGGAAGAAAGTAGATAGTGGTCTTCGAATTAATTAAATGGTATATCTACTAGTGTCTCGGATTCTGCAAACGCCGTTTATGTCTCTTCCATATCAAAAAAAAAAAAGAGTTTTGGAGGAAGTAGTACAGCGACATGCTAAACAGTTATTGAAATCGCGTGAATACTAAGATCAGAGCTCCCGACTATCTTCAAAGTATTATCTCTTCTTCATAACTTTATTACTACCTTACTAAACCTCTTAAAACTTGATATAAAGTTTGGGACAAATGCTAGCTATTTGTTCCTCGCAGTGAGTGAGAAGCAAGTTACTACCTGTATTATGATTTCTATTAAACAAGTACAGTGTGTCAATTGAGTAGAGTAGAGTAGAGTAGTGGGTCCTACTCATCCTCTACTCATACTCTACTCAAGCTATTCATGAGTGAATAAGTAATATAAGTAGTTCTTTAATACATTAAATAAGCCCATAAACCTCTAATATCCTTACTCTCTATATTTAATATATTAAGACCCGCTTCTAATATCTCAAAATGCCTCGATAAGTATTAAAAAGTAGATATATTATCAAGGTAGTCAACTCTAGTACTTATAACAAATACCGACAAGCTTCCTTTGCCAATGCTTCTAATAAATTGCAAAGTGTTTACAACTTCTGTTGCTATAAAAGCAGCACTGACCGCTAGTATTGTCGATATCCACACGAAAGAGTGTGTAGTTGGAACGAGCGAAGAGAGTCGTCGCTGAGACCTTTATTGCTTGTACAGTTCAGATTGATTTCGTTGATATATCTTAAATCGCCGAGAATGAGCATTGCTACCAGAAAGTGCACGCCTCCAGCTGACAAGGGACTAATGAAAGCATTGCGCTGCAACATTTATGAGATCCTCGGAGCTATGGTTGTCAAGTTTCCAGAGTTTGAAGTTGTTGCGTGGTTACCTGTTTCGTTTCCAGCACCAAGAAGAGCAGTGGACAGAGTGAGAGCAGTAGCACGATAAGTGGATCCATATATTAAACTCGCCACATCTAGCCAATTTTCGTATGGTCCTTACCAGTACTGTTCCAGTTATACATTGACGGTGGTTTCAATATAAGAAAGGGGCGGAGAGGAAGCGGAGTACGCACCAAATATTCGATCAGGACGCGAACGTCTTTGAGGTCCTTGAGACGATTGAATGCTCGCTATGAAGAAGAAAGCCTTCGACGTCACTGCGGACAAGGGCTGCCGCGGCTTCATTTCTGAGCCGAAATTGTCCCAAAGCCATTTTCAGCATCTTGACAGGTTCATTTCCTCTCTAGAATCTGAGAATTAGGGTGTGAAGATTCGAACGTTTTGATTCACACTCCCTGTTGCAATAATGCATAGAATTTTGAGTTTGCCAGCATCAGCTTTTGGGGCTCCATTAGTTGATCCTCCATTCTCCGCATGTACTTCGCTGACGGCAGCGGGGGCCTATCGAATGCAGCTAACGAAATGGCAATGTACGCCATCAAGCGTCTTTACCAATTTTCATCTTGAGAGAGATCCCAGCAGCGTAGGGCCTTGTCATCGGCAACACCCACCAAATACTTGCCACCAGGATGAAAAACAAGCCTGCGTACCCAATTATCGTGACCTATGAGGGTCTTGATCAACGTCCCTGGAGTATCCCATAACTTTATAGCTCCAGTAGCCCCGTATTCGGCTGAACTATTCGCTGGTGGGGACTTCTTCAGTCCCAAGAGAGTTGCGAAGTGCTTGTAACTTGCTGGTGGTGCGAACGTACAGCATTCAATGAAGTTTTCGTGGCCTACCAAAGTCGCCTTTGCTTCTCCAGAAACAGCATCCCATATCATTGCAGTTTGGTCATTACTCCCTGACACGAGCCACCGCCCATCGTAAGCAGGGGAGACGTCTCGGACCCAGCCACTATGTCCCCAAATTGTTTTCACGCACCTGTCAAGGCATCCCATATGCGAAGGGATTTATCTCGACTAGCGGGGACCAGAAGATTTCCCGAGGAAGACGACAGAAACGTACTGCGGAAACAGAGTGGTCATGCCCAGGAAGCGTTCGGATATTCGCATAGTCGTTGCTCGGATCCCACAATTTGATTGTCAGATCACTGGAACAGGACGCCAGCAGAATTCCTCCCTTCGACCCGCCAAAATCAAGATCCAAACATCCCTTGTGTATCCCTTGAGAGTCCTCTCTAGCTCTCCCAACTCCCAGTCCCAGATTTGATAGTGCTATCCTCTGAACCTGAAGCGAGTGACGAAAAGGTAGGATGGAATGCAACGGCTGTAACTGCCTCTCTATGTGCCTGAAGCGCATGTGTTGGTCGACAAGGAAGCCAGTTCGTGGGGTCTTGATTTCGTTTAGAAAGGGAGGATGGTGTGGCCTGATCGAGTTCGGCTTACAAAGTCGCCATTTTGCTTTCCAGTTCCATTATCTGCAAGACAATAGCATTTAGTGCCGCTCCAAAAACCCAGCTTCAATTAGATCCTACCTTCTTTTGTAATCCGACAACGCTCGTCCACTTCTCTTCTAACAGCCCCTCGTACTTCTTGCTAGTCGCGGCATTGAATGTATAACCAATTTGAAGTTCTTCTCGTAGCGCGACGGCGCTGCTAGATAGTTTGACCTAGCAAGGTAGGCGATGACGGATTTGTGCCTGATGTCAAATCAGCGTGAGTTGGGGAAATATTGACGGTGCAGGTTAGCTGACAGCACTTCAGCCTGCCGTGCCGTCAAAAATCGACTCATGGCCACAGTAGAATGGGGGACATGAAGGTTGAGATTCTTTCGCGTGTTGTTTATTGCCTTCGATGTGACGCGGGGCAGTCGACCTTGAAGTGGGCGGCGGTGTCTATCGCTCTGAGGCACAGCCCAATTTCTTCAGTCAGGAAAATAGACCGATGTTTCGCGATATGTAGAAAGTCGAAAAGTGTGCGGAGATGTTTATTATCGAGCTGGTTGACGATTACCCATAGTCGATGATCTAAATATTTTGTTACAGGAATCAAGATGCCTAATCTTGGCTCCTTTATGCCTCAGGTACAAGGACATTATAAACACGTGACATAGTTCTACCCCAGCCTCGTTGATAGTTCGAAGGACAAAGAGGCAGAAGTGAGCCGTGTACCAAGTAAACCGATCGACGGGATCAAAACACACTTCACGCGATATGAGAGAGATTTCTAGAATTGTGATTTTTTCTAGAACAGAAGCGTAATGCTCGTAGAAGCTTGGGGGCAAGGCTAAATAAGGTAAATCTCCTTAACGCGAAAGTTAAGCGAGATTCGTGCCTGAGGCTTAAGCGAATGTTCCCCCCCTCACATCGTCTCGCTTGGCGTTTTACTTTCGGTGAGTACATTTCCCAATAACCAGATTCAATCCCCTAGGCTGTTCTATCCCAGTACTAGAGAAAAGGGACAGGAACCGATGCTCTATATTGACGATCTCGCAAGAAGAGTCATGCATCGCAGATGCAATCATCCCGCCCACCGCTGCAAATCAGCAGCTCAAGCGAAGCAATGCCATCTATGCAAAACCACACTCTCTTCCATACCCCTACTCTAAGCACCAATTACACAAGGTGCGAAATCGCCCAAGAACTTCTCCATATTCCTTGCCTCCTTTCCCTTCCCTCTCCCCGTCGCCGGATTCTCAATCCCAAGAACACTGCCAATCAAATCATGATTAATCTCCTCCGTTACCACACTATCATGTTTGTACTCCTCATGACCCGCCACAAACTCTCTGATCCACTTCGCAGCTGTCCAAAGACTCCCATCCGCTCTCTTGCGAATTAACTTCAGATACCGAGCAAGTTCGCATCTGGTCTCGACATCAACGTTCATGCTATCTAAGTACGATTCGACCAATGGGATCAACCCGGGAAAGTCGTTTCCGGAGCCAGGTTTTCCGCCATTGATAACTTCGTCGATGGTCATTGACATATACTCATCTTCCACCGGCCCAGTAGGCGTAGGCGGCCGACTGAGGACCGGAGTCGAAGTCCCAGAACCTATTCCGTTTGAGGAATACGGCCTGGGGTATCTGGTTGGGAAAGGGTTCTTCCTGAAATAAAACTTGTCGTTCAGCACAGCATCGCGTTTATGCGCCGTCTGCATATTCTCATCCGTCTTCGGGATCGGGATATAGAAGTTCAAGTCGAAGGACAGGATAGCGCGCGTGATGAGCACAATGAAGACGGAGAAAGCTGCATTTTCGAAGTCTGTGACTTGGATTTCCATGGGTCTGAACTCCACACGCCAGCCGATGTCGTTCCCAGCGGGAGGGGGCTTGAAGCGGATGTGTTGCCAATTTGTCGATTGCAGGTTCTCGAAGTGGTCAGTTTTTGTGAGGTCCAATTCTTTGAGATCTTCGGCGAAGATGACGATAGGGTCGCGGATGAAGAGGTGGGCGAAGTGGGTGGCGAGGAGAGCGTCCATGCCGCCGTCCATGAGCTGTTGCTTGACGTCAGGATCGGTGATTAGGTGTGGGTCAAGGTATTCTTTTCGCAGCCGAGGGTCTTCGGAGATGTATGTGGAGTTTGGTGCATAACGCGATTTTGGAATTCGCCATCGATTATGCCTCAGGGGCTGATAAACATTAGCGGGTGTCTGACGAGTGGCCTAATCAACTGACCGTCTCTCCAAGTTCTTCGGGTGTTCGATCATCGACTGCAGCGCTGATCTGATTCCACCTCACATCTGTATCTGCAAGAAATCCTTTGTAAATAGGGGTTGCCGCAGTCAAGGCCAAAAGGATGGGTCCTAATGGGCTTAATTGATCATACATCTGTCGACCTTCGGTGATGTTCTTGGCTTGAAATGTAATCTGCAAGCAGCAACTGCCCATGCCGAAGGCCATAGCGTCCATATGGATGAAGTTGTCTGGCGCAGCTCCATTCCGGACATCGTCATCCTCTGCCCACTTATGCAAATCGTAGTTCACCGTGGGGTCCCTCCATGGCCATGGAGTATTCTTGTCCTTGAATACAGGAACATTGACCTGAACTTTCCGACCTCGCCTCGATCGAATATTAGCTGCCAAAGTGGGGAAACGGATATGTGGGTTGGCAATCTCGTCGGGAACAAATTGGGATCGCAATTTCTCTCCTGATGGAGGATAATACGGACTTGTGAAAGTGCCAGGACTCCCCAGTCGGGGATAAGTGGTTAGAGTTATGGGATATTCTTCTGGGTTCATATGCTCTTTGGCAATCTTCCGCCTGAGACCTGTTAAGATATATGGAATGAGTAGGAAGAATGTCCTTACCTTAATTTCATATTGAGTTCTACATCAAGTAAATCTTTGAATCCAATCCCCCATGGATTTCCCGGGGTTGCTTCCAGCATGAAACGACCAAATTCGGGGTGGAATATGGGGAGCGTACTGGAAATATTCAGACTCGAAAGAAAAAAACGTAAACATTCTCCATACCTTGATTTACCAACAACCTGCAAATCTGACACACAACCTCCTTCGTCACAGAGTTTGTCATCGTGGGCCAGAGCGTGAAGAATATCTGCCTGGCGTAAAGACAGAGTGACTCTGGGATCATCGTCCGTGTAGTCAACGACCAAATATTCTACCTATAGATCCTTTAATCGCTGTCCAAGATTATGCAGGGAGGACTAACTTCATCGCCCCAGAGAAGAGCATCCTTCTCTTTCCCCTTGGCCCGATTCCAGATCGCCAACAGTTGCTATGACGCCACTTTCAGCATAATGTTGCCATTTCGGCTAGATATTTGTACCTTCACACCCCATTGCCGGACATGGTCCGCGTTCTTCTTCGCTTCTGGCCAATCTAGAGGGGTTCCCAAAGCTCTAAATAGACCCCCGGATCAGCATGTCCCCTTGCAATTGACTCATGCAGGTCATTGTCCCAAACCGGTATCAACTCACAAAAGACCCATCTTGCCGGTATCTCAGTCCTGTTTCTGCGCGGTTATGGCCCAATCTCTGACCGCTTGACAGACCCTGCAGAGTGGTACGGTGTGTGATTCGTTTGCGCCTGTCGTCGAAGGTTTCCGTGGCTTGCGGGGGAGTCGCTGTATCGTTTCGTCTCGAGTCGCCCCCTCTATAAAACGTCGTTGTTGAAGCTCGAGTGAAATCACCAGGTGCGCCCTCCCCCTTTCAACCTGGTGATGTCGCCCTCTTGAACGAAGAGAGGTATGGACCCCCACTCTGCAGCACGTTCAAATTGCCATACCCGCAGCCCCACCTCGCAACGTTATCAAGCACGCGATCTACGTACAGCCTCACTGGCTCCGAGGCTGCTCGTCGGTCGTCGGCCGCGCAATTCTGACAGGCTGCCGAAAGAAGCGAATATGAAGGTTTTGGACAATGCGACGGAGGGAATGAAGACAGCGGCATGGTTTCGTCGTAGTGGGGTCGAAATTTTCCGTTGCTTACAAAACATTTCGCTTTCGGCGGGTTGATGGACGTCATGGGGGGCTGATCTGCCGAGGCCAGGGGGCCCCTGAGCGAAGCGGGATGATCTAAGCGGACCCCTAACCCTTTTGGTGATGTCAACACCACGGAAGTTATCTCCATCGAGACAAGCAGTCTAATAAGGGGTTTTGATTTAGTGATTGGCCCCACAAAATCAAATCCTCTGGGAGCCCCTAGGCAGAGATCTTCCCAACGAAATATTTCTCCTATCCATCTTTAGCTGAGGACAGCCGAGGTGACTTCGAGTGACAAGTGTTCTCAATGGTCGTCCATCGTGATTAGAAGGGTTAAAGAGGGCATTTTGAATTTCGACCGGTGCTTCTAAATACCTGTTTCCATGTCTTAACTCACCTGCATTATATATGCTAGTCTTTCCTGCTCCACTTACGGGGGGGGGGGTTTGATGTTCAAGTCATGCCAAAGAGAGCTTCTTCAGGCAAAAGGAGGGAAGATCAGAGCAACATCACCAGGATCACGCCTTCCACATGCCTTCAACTACTCCGTGCACATTTCACATGATTTTCCAATCTCCCTATCTTCTTTCCCCTCTCGACCCCTCCCCCTCCCCGTCCGTCCCACCTCAACGCCAATCCATCTAAAACAAACCGGCAACTCGCCTAGCGCGCAGCCCAAACCCATGGCCCTCGCAACGTTCCACCGTCCCACCAGACCGTATGCACCGACACGATTCTGTGCGCCCTTACAGTCTCGATTCCGATAACGCATGCGTGTTTGCCCTGCTGTGTCGCCAAGCACCATGCTGTCATAGGTGACATGCATCATGCACGGATACCCTGTGACCTTTTTCCTTGGAGAATTTCCGAATATGGTTGGGCTGAATAAAATAAAAGAATGCCCGCCATTGAATTTAGAAGACCTCGAACTTCGAAGTAATGTTCTATCGCTTGCATGTCCCCGCATCTCCCCAGCTAGAATTGATATATGACATGTTTTGCGCCTGACAAAAACAATCATAAATCTATCCTTCTACTCAGAAGGAACTGCAGCCTTCTGGCTTCATGAGAAGAAAAAACTTTCAATCCCATGACCCAGCATCGGATCCCTTCGTGCCATCACAACATGTCGTCCTCCCCACCCTCACCCTCACCTCGCCGGCCCTTCCCTCCTATCAGCCACCGCCAGGCCTCCTTTCCCACTCACAACCCAACATCGTGGTTCTCTCTTGCAGTTCCCTTGCATCCTGTGCCAGCCCACCTCGTGCAACTCCAGGTTTCCGATTCCCGATCCATGGGTGCCATCACGCCAGCCAATGCAGCCACCTCTGGCCAACAAGCGGCCCATCCACCACCCAGATGCAAGCCAGATGCAAGAACCCGAGGGGCCAGGTAAGTGGTACCGCAGTTCGTCTGACAACAAAACCAGCACAATAAGTGGATGAAGAACGAGAGTCGGGTCGACTACATATGGAAGAACGTTGTGGCGACGCACTTGCATGGCATTTGCATACATGTATGTATGGAAGATGTGCAACCACCTGCAGGCACTGCTGCAAAAGAAAAAACCTTTAAACTTACGTGATGTGAGGGAGGGAGGGAAGGGAGATGCAATGCAAATACGTACCTATGTATTGAAAGAGCAATAACCCGATCCCATGCGTGCCGTACACGTGCTTTAGAAACCGCTTTCACCTCCTCACCCAAACCAATCATTGCCGGAGAAGAAATTCGGACTCATCGCCGCGAAACATCTTTCTTTCTTACTGTACCGGAGTTTCCGTCGTGGCACAACGACCTATCACATCAGATCCAATTCCAAAAACAACGGTTCCAAATGCCCAAAAGCGACATATAACATTCGCCCTTTCCAAAAGTGTCTCATGTCTCAAAATCCCTCCAGTGACATTCTCTACATTCCTCACCTACTCTAGGAGCTCTTCTCCCCGCTTCACCATTCCCCGTCCCCCCCGTTCCCCTTCCCCGGGATATTCTCTTCCCGCATTCCAGCGAGCCTCAACCCCTCACTAACTCGAAACAACAACGCAAGGAGTTGCTCAATCGTGCTACCTTCTGCCGATCACTGATCACCCCTCATCTGTCTCAAAATCCTAAAACCTAAAACCAACGTTCAAAGATCTGATTAAGATCACATCTCGTATCACTACTCTCACCGTCCGTCCCCCTATCCCACCTCCATTCATTCCCAGGAACCCGGAAGCGAGGAGAGAGAGTTTGAGACCCTCCCATTCCCACCGCTTCCCTTTTGAAACTTGCCTTATGCTTACAATGACTACACTTCGCGAGTCTGGTCTTCCACAACGTGCTACCGCACTACTGATGCGCATTCGATGCGTCTAGAACCATTCATACTAAGTGCTGGCACTGGTCACGTACACTCGTGCCTGACGTACGTGCTGTACCTTGCCTCGTGTTTTCGCTGCACAACTTGCGAAGCGCCGGCGGTAGAACAAGATGGACATGGAAGGGCTGCGAGGCAAGGTGAGGGTGAGGCAGATCGGTGATACGCTGGTAGTGGGGAGATCGATCGGGCTATGAAAATAGACGTGAGCCATGTGAGCAGACGGAAAACGCACTACGGCTTGTTGTGTACGGAAAGATCAACCTTGAGATTCAAAAATATGAACTGAGTGAGTCATGGGGCAATTGGGACACTGGAGAGAAGTATTTGAAGGAAATGCGAATTTGAGAAGGGGGGCAGATTTTGAACTTTGAGTAATTTCATTTCCTCTCTTTTTCGTCTCAGGATCAATCCATCTTGGATGAAGCTAGAACCTCTTGCTCTGGCGAGCTCAAGCTAATCCGAAGCTTTTCCCATCTCATCACATCTATAACTCCTTTCTCTTAACTCCTCGTGCCAACCCGTGCCTGTCCGTGCCTTGTAGCTTCATCATATATCCTCATCCCTACCCTTTCATGAATCAACATCAACATCAACTCTAACACTTCACTCAACAGATGCAACATGACATGCCTACACCTCTTCCTCAAAGTTAGCTGAGCAGCTGTTATAAAACTTGGGCTTCTCTCCCAAAGCAAAAGAACTCCATCTCATGCATGACAAGCCATGGTAACAGAGAATCCACCTCCGGCCCCTTCGGATATGCCACCCTTCCCTGTCCTTCCCAATTGCCCAGAACGCCTAATAGCGAATACGCCACAAGAAAAAATTGTAGTTCTGATATAAAATCGATTCGTATGCCGCGGCCCCCGAGTCGGGGTATAAAATGCCCTAGAAGGCCTAGTAAAACATGCCGGTCGTCTCATCCGGAAGTAGTAGAGTGCTCGCCATGGCGAGGGGGTAGGAAGATATTAGTAGATAGTGTACAACGAAGTCGAAAGGGTATCCATCATAGAGGCCTTGGAGAGACTTCGTCCATCGATTTCGGCCTCAAGGATGAGCCGTTAGAACCCTGCGATTGCTTCATGGTGTTCTTCCTCGTGAGTTTAGCGTAGTGCAATCCGCACGCATTACACAGTGTCCTGGCGCCATCGGGTCCTCTCCTCCATTCAGGCGTTTCTGCTCTGTTGCAGCTGTGGCAGCGTCCTGGTGGTGCGGCTCGCTGCTTCAACGTTAGATTCACCCGCTTAAAAAGTGAATGAGTATAAACATACCCCTCGACGCTTTTTACCTTCAGAACCAAATCCGTGGTTCTTCATGTCATCCCCATACATGCTCATTTCTTCATCATAGGACCCAGGTCCCCGCGCGCCTTGATCGCGCATGTATTGTGTTTCCTCGATGTCTTTTTGCTGCTGGAGCATCATGTGCTGCATTCTCTTCAGGCACTCGCCAATCTTCGTCTGGTTGGTGAGCATCTCGTTCAGGGAGTCTAATGTTGGCATTCGATCAGGAATCGCATTCGCTGATCGTTGTTGCTCTTGAGCAATTGCATTGTAATGGGCGGACCATTCTTGGATTCCTGCGCTCATGATGTTGATCTGGAGGGCGTCAATATCGTTTCACTTTCCCCCGTCCACGATCTTGCCTACCTCGGATAGATTCATCTCAAAATCCCACACATCTAATCGTCTCTTCAATCCAAGCTTGAAAGGACCACCTATTTCACCCTTCTCGCCTTCTTTCCAGCCTTCCGATTCTCGTCGATCCTGGGGATAGTACCGCGGCTGGTTGAGTGGTGGGCCTTGGTATCCGGCCGGTGGCATCTGAGTTGGGCCCGGGCCATAAACGTATGAAGGCGGTTGCTGTGGTGGGGCTGGAGGATATCCATTCGGTGCTCGCTCTGGAGCTCGAGGATCTGGTTCATATCTTGCCGGCTCATATCGGGGTGTGGGCGCAGCGTACGGATTGTGCGGAGCGGGGGCGGCTTGAAGTGTGGTTAATGAGGGGTGTCGTGGAATCTCGGCGTAGGTCCCGGGCCCTTGCTCAGGTCGTGAGAACGAGTTTGGTTGGGGATGAACCGGTTGCGGTGGAGAGGGCTGCCTTGGTTGTGAAGGAGCAGGCTGTGTAGGGTATGTTGCGTGGTCAGCAGGTGGATAAGACCGTGGTATGGATGGTGCTTGCGATTGGGAATATGGGAGTTGATGTGACGGAGGCAGGGAGGCGGAGACCGGAGAAGCATATGGGTTTGCCTTGGGGCCGTTGCTGAGGGCTTCGTGTATTGAAGGGAGGGATTGTCGATGGGGCTGTGACGTCTGAATGGGCGGCGGAGGTTCTGCTTTGTTGTCTGAAGTCCGCCGCGAATCTGGAGGGGATATCAGACCAGACATGGAATGTCCAGTTGGTCCTGGCCAACCTGACGAGTATGGCGGAGGGCCGCTCGAGTACATCGAGGAAGGGCTAACAACTGCGGTGGCCATTGTGGGAGCTGAAGTGTACGTTGGTCGGTTGTTGGGGATGTAGTCGCTTTTCTCGCGATTGATGATGGATGGGATGCCACTGGTATACACGGTTAGATCAAGGCGAGGAGACGAGGGGATCAGGGCGGGGCGAACCTTTGCCTGTTACTCCCATCCACTACATCCATGACAAGAAATTCCCAAGCAAGGCAATGTTCCTTCACCTGAGGTGCCCGGGAAGCATGCGTGGGCGGCAGGCAATATCGTGCTGTTCCCGTTCCCGCTGTGTGTTCCCGTCACACCGTTCACCAAACCATCTGCAACTGTCCCCTCAGCTCGAGTACAATATATCCGCGTGCGAGGTATTCGGCCTGCGGTGGCTGCAAGACGACTGGAATGTGCGGTCGATATGAAGGGTGTGGCCGCGTGGGGATTGTCGAGTCAACCGACGCCAGAAGGGAGTTGGAGGCAAGACAACCTAAAAATATGTATAAATATACAGAACAGCGGCGCCTTCTTCTGCGCGCACTGTGAGACTCAGGATTGAGATGGAGTTCGAGGTCAGATGCGAGGGCGCTCGATTCGCCAAGAAACTAGAGACTAAGGGACTTCCCGCACCACACAATTGTGCTGTGCATGCACGGCCTGCTGGGAGGAGATCTTCGAGTGTGCGGAGAGTTGATGTGTCTTACACTGCGCACAGGAAACGTGCCGGCCGGCGAGGTGGCTGTTGGAATGGTTGGGTCCCTGCAAGACAGATCCTGTGCACCGGTGGGGAGATTGAAGGGCCGCAGCGGGTGATGTTAAGTGAGACTTTTAGGACCAACCACTGGCAGATTCAGAGACTGTAGAACACAAGAACCCGCGGGACGGCACAGTGCTGAGGTTTGTGAAGCTGACGATCGATAGGACTGGGGAGGAGAGCGTTCCAGAGAGGGAGAATGTTTTGTTTGGAGTTTGGAACTGGATCAACAGGAAACGGCAGAGAGACAGGATTTTGTTTGGCAGCTGGGCAGGCGAGAGTCTAGAGGGAGGCCCGGCGGTTTGAGCGGTGACAAGAGGGTGCCGTTTGTTGTCGATTTCGATGATGAATAGTTTCGTTGAGCCGTCGAGCAAGCTCACGGGGAAGTGTGAGCTAAGAGTAGGCCGCCAGACGGCGGACTCGAACTCTACTTCTAGCTCCTTGCGGGCGTGGTGCCAGCTCGATTCGAGCATCGCAAAGGAAGAGGGCCTCCCGGCCTGGCGTGTTGCTTCGCCTGGTGCTGGGAGCTGGGGAGCTGGGGAGCTGGGATGCTTGGGGATGGGCATATGGACATGGGGGCGGGAGGAGGAAGGCGGCACACCAGGACCAGCCCGGTGGGCGAGGATCAATCGAAGGCTGCGCCGGGGCCTGCTGGAGATGGCGCTCCCTGCCTGAGCCAGCATCGATGTTGGATCTCGATGGGCCGCTGTCGAGGCGGACAGGGGAGGCATATCCCTGTGCTGGAGGAACCGCGCCAGGAGCCAGGACGGGGGGGGAGCGTGGGACCATTTCGCTCATCCAGAGTCGGAGTCGCCCGGGGTCCATGGAGTCCTGGACGGGTGGGGAGGGGAGGGGTCCAGGGCAAGGTAGGGGTGTCCCGCGAATGGGTCAAGCCAGCATGGGTGTGGCAGATTGGCAGCTTGATGAGGTCGACTTACTGGGTGTGTGGAATCTGTGGATGCAGCCGTCACCACTGGAACTGAATCACTAGCTGGATGGGGACAGCGCCGCGGCGGACGAGGATCTTCAGCGATCGAACCTCCCACGATGCTCTCGAGCCTGTGCATCACTGCCAGAAGTAAACCTAGTCCACCATGGTGTGCGTTTAAGCACACCCCGTGGCATTTGGGATAGCTCCTCCCACTGCTGAAGCCTTAGATAGTCGGAATGTGCACTAGTTGAAAGACCTCCCTCTCACTCTCACCACTTTCTCGTGAAGAAATTGCACAGCAGGGCAAGCACAATGGATAATAAAACCTCAAAAGCCTACGCCAAGCAGCAGCTTCTGATTGGGCATCGATGAGGTTTCTCGAATATTCAGGGATCAGACTTTGCTCCAGGCTGGTGACCTGGGGTATGGGCGGCAGATCCAGGAGAGCTCGCCGGCGGCGGCGACCGTTCCATCCCTCCAGAGTCCAGATGTCCAATGCTTCCTGGCTAAGGATAGTGGGAGACAACACAAAGAATACTTCAGACCCTATCTCGTCCCGAGATTTAGCATGCAAGATTCGTTCAAATATCCCGCTCCTCATGTTCTTGCACTTGCCTTGCACGCCTTTCAGTTCTAGCGGCCTCAAGAATTATTGCAGTTTGCAAGCCGTACATTGCGAACACCGCAGCAGCTCCTGAAGCATTCTCAATGCCCCAGTGGCCGGAAAAGAGTAAGCTCGACCAGGTTCAAGCTGCAGTGACAGGCATTCTTCGATGCAATCCCCCGCTGCTCGCTGTGTTTCTCTGCATCTTTGGGATTTTCTAGTCTGCACGGCAACATCTCCTGCGCCGGATATTGTTTCAATGATTCAATCACAGATCGGAGAAATCGCCATAACCTTCCCCTCAACGCTTGCTCCCGCTTATGTTTTCAGATTTGGGGTGACACGACGCCACAGCGTGTCAATCCCGCGCATTCCTGCCAAATGGACCATCACAACTTCTTCCCAACTCAGTGCCGTGCTTGACGTTCAAAGAACATGCCAGATAAATGGGCTTGAGCTTTCAGTTTTCTGGAGATTCTCCATTGAGCAAGAAAGGCGTCCGCCATGGTCCGGACGAGGGAGTGAGCACGTTGTCTTCCTGCTGCGTCGTGGAGGGTGGACCGCAATGAGGTCAAAACTGCGGACAGCGCCTGCAAACGTGTCAGGGGGCTCACCATGGCTCCATACAGGCAATTTCTGCAAGGCTACACGGCAGATCTCTCTGTACCTCAGCTCCTGGGTCTCTCTTCCAGACGCCCATCACCAACATGGCCCAATATCGACAAGAACCTCCGCAATCTACTCGCCGCCAGCAGCATCACGTCGTACGGAATCAGTATCGATTAGTCAAATAGACACTTCCATACCACAGCAAACAATCGTTGTGTCTCGACTCGTGTGTGACCAAAGCCACAAATGCTACAACAGCAGTTTGAAACGGCCAGATCAGCACCAAAACCGATGGAGACAAGATATTGACATAGAACCATACAGATGTAATAACGCTGGTGTCTGGTTCTGTGGTGGCTTTAGTTCCAGATCTTCAACTCGGAGTTCCAGTCAGGATGGAGGGTTGCATTCAAACCCGAAAGTGGAAATGATTATTACAGAGATGGGGGAGCATCATCGCCCCATTAGCCGATCCCCAAACCACCCAAACAAACACCCTGGACGCTTTCAGAGATTGACACCACACTCACCGTGTCTCTCGGACCGCAAGGAGATCTGCTCCCACTTCACGCGTGCATATGACCAGGACGATGCCCACGATTAATAGCAGAAGCCTTGGTTGAGGCTTTCGCAACCACATCGACGAGCCAGCGAGTTTCTCTGTGTTTTTTCAATGTGGATTATTGAAGACTGAAAGCATTGAAAGATACCCACATCCTGCAAGTGCACCCAAGAGGCTGAGCCCAAATTGTACGATTGCGGAAAGAGAATTGATATCGATTGTCAACTTTTGGACACCTGCTCCCCTTCCTTGGCACCAAGATACATTAGAATCGAGTCCCAACGGATGCACCTGCATTCTGACAGCTGCATGTCTCGGGCTGACGCTCGCAAGCGATCAGCAACGCTCCACACAAGCATTCATAAGAAGGAGGTTGGTCTGTCACATCACCAGAAGCCGCCCCGCACGTGAAATTCACGGCTGAGGAGTACAAATGCACGCCTTGTCTGTCGGTCGCGTCAGATTCCAGGATTCAAAAGCCATTAGATAAAGAACATGGCTTCGCAACCGAGTTTGCGGAGGGAAGAGTAGCTTCAATAGAGTAGTGGGCGGACTTAAGCTGAGTCTTTACTTACACAGCGAGAAAATGCTGGTCTTGGACTGATATTGAACCTGGTGCATGCTTCACACTGCATGATCGCTTTACACGGCAGCCCACGATACTCGGACGATCCAAATCTGGCATTGGTTGCAGCTGGACCACTCAGGGGCGCATCAACTTGTCATACGTGACGGCTGAAGATTGATATTCTCAGCCAGTATTTCTTACATGACGTACCGCGAAATCAACACCAATCAGCATTGCATCCCAGCCTTGACTTTGAAATACCCCATGGGCCCTACGTTTCGCTCAAATACGAGCTTGCCTTACCAAGATCTCCAGCCCTGGTGTCAAAATCTCGTGGCAGTGGGCACAGAAGTCGCCCCACCACAAGTTGCTGAACGAGGCGCAACTTCCCCAACCCCGCCACGCGATTGCCATGGATGAGCCTGGCTTCAAGCGCAACGGCTTTTAAACGAGGAAACCTCGACAAGGAAACCCCTCCCTTCGTCCTCCAGGCTCCAAGGAAATACGACGACATACCAGAATTCTACCAGTTTTCATGGCATACAGCTAAGCATTCCAAACATCTCTCACTTCTGACCCCCCCTCCCATTTAAGGTTCTCAAGGGAGGCGCGGGGCCCGCCTTCCTTTCTGGGCCAGTTCCTTCGACAATGGAGGGCTCAAACTTGGGATTGGCCAGACCCAGACACACCCTATCTATTCTCGGGTGGATGTGCTGGATCGCCGATTGATTCTCCACGGACCAGATCTTACTGTACATGAATCCCTACTCTTATGGAAGAGATTAACGGTATCAAAAATGTCCGGCGAACGGACCCCCAAGACGTGAAACATCCCTCCAATATCAGCCTCCAAGGCTGTCCAAAAGCTTCATCGTCCCAAAGTACGCACTTCAGACGCTGTTCAGCATACAGAGCTACATCTCCCTGCTTCATATCAACGAGTTCACCGCCAGTTCCCCAGAGAAGTGGAGCGACTTTTCCTCACCGTCCCGACTCCGCGCATCTCACCCTTCAAGCGCTTGTGTGGTTTCATGGAACGGACTGATCACCAAAAAGGCATGACCCCCGTTGCTCGGACGTGATCGACCCA